GAAAATGCCTCTTGAACATGGCCATGTAGCCCGAAAAAACCTGCAACAACCCAGTGATTCTGGCCATGAAAGCCCTTGACAATACATTGTTTTCAACAGTTTTTTGTCTGGAGTTTCAAGCTCTGGAATAAACATGATGAAGGCACTCAGAAGCCACACCTAAAAACTGCCAGGCCATCAAATGCTAATCAAGGTGATCAATTGAAACATTCACACCTAGCTCCAACAGATAAGAGTTCTTTCTCCCACCCTGGACATTCCACAGATATATAAACCCCATTTTCCTAGTTTCTAACAGACCTCACAACCTCTGAGGATGCCTGCCATAGATGCAGGTGAAACGTCAGGAGAGAATGCTTCTAGAACATGGCCATATAGCCCGAAAAACCTACAATAACCCAATGTTGAACGCTGTTGTGGAAGGCTTTCATGGCTGGAATTACTGGGTTGCTGTGAGTTTTCCAGGCTGCCTGGCCATGTTCTAGAACAGGGGTCCTCAAACTTTTTAAACAGATGGCCAGGTCACAGTCCCTCAAACTGTTGGACGGCCGGATTATAATTTGAAAAAAACATGAATGAATTCCTATGCACACCGCACACATCTTATTTGTAGTGCAAAAACACTTAAAAACAATACAGTAATTAAAATGAAGAATAATTTTAACAAATATAAACTTATTAGTATTTCAGTGGGAAGTGTGGGCCTGCTTTTGGCTGATGAGATTGGGTTGTTGTTGTTGTTGTTGTTGTTGTTGTTGTTGTGTGCTTTCATTTCAAGTCGTTTCAGACTTAGGTTGACCCTGAGCAAGGGCCAGATAAATGACTTTGGAGGGCCATGTCCGGCCCCCAGGCCTTAGTTTGAGGATCCCTGTTCTAGAAGCATTCTCTCCTGACACCCACATCTAGGGTAGGCATCTTCAGAGGTTGTGAATGCTTCTGGAACATGGCCATATAGCCCGGAAAGCTCTCAGCAACCCAATAATAACTTCTATTTCTGTTGCTTTCTTTACTTCTGTCACTAAATTGCTGCCCTTTGATTAAATGTTGCTCAAAACAGCCAAGAAACGAGTGTAATCCCTGACAACACTTGCTAGTTATTTACATAGAAGTTTGATATGTTTCCACACCTTGCATTTTCCAGACAGCAGTTTTGCAATATTGTTCTACCAGTCCATTCTCCTTTAAAGTCTTCAGGAGAGAAATGGGCCGGACTTACTTACTTAGGCGATCCCTCGTTGGCCGAGTAGGATAGTCTTCCAGGATCAGTATTCTGGTGGGTCCGTAGGTGACTGTGGAGCCCTAATCTTGATCTGCATCGTCTCCCACAGTGAGGGCATTGGTTTCCAGGTGGAAGGCGGTCTCGGTCGGGGTTGGCTTGATGCGCTTGGCACGTTTCTCTCTTTTGCCCTCCATTCGTGCCTCTTCAAATTCTACAGCACTGGTGGTCACAGCTGACCTCCAGCTGGAGTGCTCAAGGGCCAGGGCTTCCCAGTTCTCAGTGTCTATGCCAGAGTTTTTAAGGTTGGCTTTGAGCCCATCTTTCAATGTCTTTTCCTGTCCACCAACATTCCATTTTTTGAGTTCGGAGTAGAGCAACTGTTTTGGGAGACGGCGGTCGGGCATCCAGACAATGGGACGGAACCTCTGTGCAGAAAAGGGAGTTTCAGTACAAAGTGCTTGGGTCACAAGCAGCATCTGCAGAAATTTCCTTTTCTACACAGCTGCAGGAACAATAGCTTGCTTTTCACCTGGCAACCCTAGTTCCAGCCTTTCTATTACACTAATGGCCTTGTTCTTTTAAATGGAATACACATTCTGTGTATAAATAAAACATGCATTAAATGGGGTGTTGTGCTAACACCAGCTGTAGTGCATATTTACTTGGATTTTATTTTATCAGGGAAACTGCCAGAGCATGTAATCCCATGAAAGGAGAATATATGTTTGGGTAATGTTGGAATCTTAGCACCAGGATATAGCACAACAGGACAGAAACGTGGCCAGAAGTACATTGCTGTAAACCACTTAAAACAAATTCAATGTCTTTAAGCTTTTAAACCAGACTGCCATAAAATGAAAATGGAATTGAGAGTAATTTTTTTTGTAGAGTTGCTGCATGGATGTTATTAATGTTGATGTTCAGACCCTTTTTTAGCAAGTTATTTGAACATTATCTGGAATTTACAAAACAAACGATGGATTGCAGTTTTGATCAAAGCCAACTGGAACTCAGAAACCTACAATAAGGGCAGCAGTGGTGCGGTTTATTTGACTGTCTGTGCAATGCACTTTCCTGAATTGTGGCTGAAATGTACGGTTTACTTTCGTGCCCTTTATCCCGTGAATTTCAGGTTATCCTACACTATTGCTGTGATACGAATAAGTCACCCAGTTATAGACTGCTAGTATTTTTAGCAACGTGTATTGCTGCAGCTTCTGTTTTTAATATCTCATAGAAAATACATTAGTATTAAGTCTTCAGTTTGGCAATATGGAGACTACTGTTGAAGGCTTGAACATCTAATTTAATCTTGGAAGCATGAATATTAAACTGTTTTGACATATGGAGAGAGAAATCTCATACTGCATATGCAGAGAGCCTTTTGATGAATGCGGTCTTAAGACCACTCTGTGTGTGACTAATCTTTACATACATTCTGGTCTCTAAAATGTTGTTGCTATTGTATCCTCTGAACAGGCAGCATGTCATGTTCCCTTTTGTGGAAATAATAGTTCTTATTGGTAGACAGGACAGGTCGTCCCCTGCGTAAGCTTACATTCACAAATGATTTAATCCCAGGATAGTTTTACCATTGGTTCTCTGTCCTGAGACTTTTATGAGTAATGGTGAAATTTCAGTTAGTCATAGGAAAAAAAATCCTATATTCTTAGAAAGGGACCCCTTCTCATGAATAATCGGCAATTGTCCATCGGCAATTCCCAAAATACATATGGTCCTCCATATGTAACACATAACATTAAATCAGAGGTTAGGCAAAAGGTAGACTGTGGAGCACCTGATGCCTACAGGTTGTGTTGAAGTTGATTTTTAAACATGACTGATTATGGAAGAAATGTGTTAATAATGAGCAGGGGAAAATGGGTAGGCATATGTAGGTAGACTA